CACACACACACACACACACACACACACACACACAAACATCCATAAATCCCCGAGTCCGATCTCTTACAAATCCCCGAGTCCATAATGGAGGTTTATACAAAATGTAGTAAAAAAGAGGGTTTTTATAGTAGGTATTCATACAGTCGTGCTCGGGTATTCTTCTTGTAGACCATTCATCTTTCTGGAAGACAGCCTACACGTTTTAATATTAATAGATAGGCCTACATGTTTTTTGTTTTTTTTTAACTTCCCCATTCAGAAATCAAACTCAAGTCTTCTAATTGTCATGGGAAAGGGTTTTTAATTAACTTCTACGTACAGACTCTAGTACTTCTTTTAGCATGAGAGCATGAGTAAAGAACGCACAAAATTACGTGGAAGTACAAGTACTGGAAGACCCCATTGAGGTATGTCTAGGCCTACAACGTGCTCAAACAAATGGGCAATTGCCAAGAAATAACAAAGAAGAGATAGATTCGGGGGGGGGAGAGAAAACCACCAGTTGTATAGGCTTGCTCACTGATGATAATGACACTGAAATGATAAAGGAAAACTGGACCTTGAGTGGAGAGAAACTCATTGAAACACAATAATGGCTATTTAAAGCGTGTGAAAAGTAAGGCAAACAGAAAAGACTGGGAAAGAAATGTAGGATCCACTGTGGAAGCGCCCTACAACCAAAGATTCTCTACTACATGCAGTAAACTAGTAGAGAATCTTTGCTACAACCACCCACGATGAAAAGGGAATGAACATGAATCAGCCAATATCAGAAGAAGACCAGTAAGATTTATTAGATAAGTTCAGCTTGATGCACAATAAGGAGCTTTTGGACAGTTCCGATTATACACAAAGACTCCAAAGAGATGAGTTCAGAAAGCTCCCCTGCAGTTAATTAAAGGTAGGACACAAAGATTATACATGTAATGATATTCCAAATTATATAGAGGCCTACTAGTACTACTCAAAGCAAGTTAGGGATCACTACAGTTTTCACTATAGTATGTTGAGACTGTGTGACAAACAAATATTGAGAAGTTAGGTGACTGAGTTTATGTCATTGTAAGGAAGGGTCATCGATATTTACAATAATGAACAGGTTTGACACATGTCGGTTAATTTACGCTGCCTAGACAGGGTGAAAGGGGGGATAATTTCCCGTAAAATCGAAACTGTATTTGACAATCACTCACGTGATTTTCAGTGAGTGGTGTGGGTTAAAAACCAACTCAGGGGAATTCACGCTTCCTACACTAATGCCTTAGTGAGTTTGACGGTGTTAGGGGCATTTAATGCGGTCACATTAAGCGATTTTTAACAATGCCTCCAAGAACTTTCAAGAAGACGTCTGAGCAACGTCGACAGGGGACGAGCCCTTGCCAGGCTCCACGAAGGGATTGCTGTCCGTGAAGTACCAAGACGGCCTGCTGTCGAGTCACTCAGTGATCATCAGACTGAGAGACCCCCGCCCCCCCC